CTGCAGCTGAGGAACAGCGCAAGGCAGAGGCAGAGGCCAAGGTGCAGAAGGCTTCGAGAAGATCGTCAGCGAATGACCGATCACGGCACTCAAAGTCGGCGTCTCCCGCGTTGCCAAAAGTAACGCCAATTCCTGCTCCAAACCCCCAGTCATCCTCGACCTCGTTTTTCCCAAATGGACGAAAGTCTAGTCTGAAGCATTCGCTGTCCTCACAGGCTTTAAGAAGCTCTTCCCCAGCGGGCTCTAAACCATCTCCTGATGGCGTCTCCCCTGGTGTTGGGATCGAGGACCAGATGCCCTTGCCAAACAAGCTAAACAGGAAAGTCTCGTTCAACGAGGAGACAATTACACCTCGGAAAGAGACTCCTATCCTTCCACCAAGAAGGATTCTTCCTCCAGGGGCTGCAAAGCCACCGAAATCCGTCGTTCAGAAGGAAGTAGTACAGATTAAAGCAGCACCAAATAAGGCAACGCCAAAGGAAAGCACACCCAAGCCGCCAGCTAGCAAACCACTCCGTAAGCGCTCATATATGCTTAAATTTATTCACATCAAACTGACCTATTCTAGTATTGCCAACTGGGAAGGAGTCCCATACACCTATTCCCGTCCCTAAAACTGTGAGCCGCTCAAGCCAAGAGCGAAGTAGTACGCCAACAGCGCAGACCAAGGTTTCACCACCTTTGAGAATTACTCCTCGGACTAGCTCGAAGCTTCTGGTTGCAAATCAGACTCTCAAGAAATACGGGCGAGCGGCGGCTGCATCTCAGAAGAACGGTACGTGATAATTCCATGCATCAAGTTGTGTTAATTACCCTTTGCTTACCATCTAATAGAGAAGGCAAAGCCTGCCGAACAGCCTGAGGAAGAGGAGGTATCATCAGACGATGAGTCTGAAGAGAATGTCTCCAGCAAGATTTTGGCGAAAAGACCAAGTATTCATCAAGAATTTCCGGCCGAAATTGTATCCTCCAATACAACTATCAAATTCGAACCTGCAGAGCTAAGAGACGAGGACGAAGACGAAGATGGGGATGAGGATGAGGATGCCAAGATCGATGAGGATGAGACTCAAAGTCAAATCAGCTCACTGCGAGACAGCAGTCGTTCGCCTGTCACGTTCACTCAGCAACCTCAACTGAATGAAACCCCTAAGCCTCAACGAGCTGTCTCGCCTGAAGAGGACGACAGCTCTGAAGAGGACGAAGAACAGGACGAAGAAGTGGATAGCGACGCCTCTGATGCCTCCAATGCCGAAGAAACACCCAAAGGCAAAACTACCCAGAAAAGCAATGTCGCATCTTCAAAGCCAGATGAGGAATCAGGCTCTGAACAGTCCGAATCCGAAGAAGATGAAGACGAGGAGGACGAAGAGGAGGAAGAATCTGAGGTCCAGGTTCCAAAATCCAGCCCAGAGCTGCCCCCTTACAAGCGATCTATCAAGCCCACCATGACCAAGCCGGGATTAAAACCAAGTAAGAGCCGCTTATCAGACCTGAGCATTAATACTCAAGACGAGGTTGATCAACAACTAACCTCTTCTTTGTATGAAGCTCTGTCTGCTCCATCCTCTAGTGTACCTCCCCATATCCCCGCATCAAGCAATGCCATGATTACGAAGCCAAAGATAGGATTCGGAATCGGTGCGAGCTTGAGCAGTCTGAACAAGGCTAGTGCAACACTTGCGGCCTCATCCCAAGCCAAAGCCAACGGAGCAAGGTCAAGCTCGCAGAAACTGCAACTTGCCCACGAGGAGGAGAACAGCGACGAGGAGAGCGAAGAGGAAAGCGAGGAGGATGACGATGATAGTTCTGCCGATGAAGAGGAAGAGGCTCCGGAGAACAAAAAGTCGATATCGACAACAATCAAGAGAAGTTTCCGGGTCGAGGACACCCAGAAAGATTCTGACCAATCCGACTCTGAGTCAGACAGTGGCAGCTCTGGCGACGAAGAAGAGGAGAAGCAACGGCTCGGACAAGAACTGATGAGTCAGGTTAATGCTATGAACAGCATGGCTAATGGTGGCAGTCAGGACAGTATCCCAAGTCCTAAAATGTACAGGAGCGGCACGCAAGACACTCCAAAGGCAAAGAAAGCACCTGAGAAGAAGAAGAGCAACAACCTCCTTACTGGCTACGTCTTCTCGCCGCCTGCGTGACTAGCCGATGAATGGCGAAGATGGACGCAAGATTGAGCTTGGATTGATGCTTCTTTCATATGGGTCAGGATAGTGTTCATAGCAGGATGTCGGAGGAACTTCACAGGAGTCACTTTGTGTTGCACATAGGTTAGTGATGTCTACGATGACTTCGGGGTGGGGAGTAGGATACGTGGAATGAATGATATGGACTCGATGTGTGCTTTGGCTGACATGAGTTTTTGAGCTGCCTCCCATGAGAGAGTGACATATTTTCTTCGCTGCGAGTGCAGCCTCCGTTTCAAAATTCCATATGCTACCCAAACTTTCATAATTTAATAAGTGCCGCATCAAACTGAATAATGCTCGGCAATTCCTTCTCATCTTGATGTTCTCGAGTTACGTGAGGTAGATTACAACACAACCCCACCTTTGAACCAATCCTGTTCAGGCAAGTCTATCCTTCCCGCAGCTAGTGCTGGTCTATTATCTGCATCATATACCTCCATCTCTATTGGGATGACTCCAGCTTCATCCCATATATACTTCGTTCACATTGATTCTTTGCGTTTGATTTTGCTCGCTTACTACCTATATTCTTCTAGTCATGATGTTAAACTTCAATCCATTGATTCTTGGTGGGTTGATGGCGTTGGTGCTTTACTCCACTTATGAGCTTTACCAGCGTTTTGTTAAATCGAGATTTGAAGGAAAGGTACGAATACTATGCAACCCTCTCTTTCTCTTGTTCTCAAACTTTCAGGTCCGTGTTATTCTCGAAAGTTGCCAGCAACAATGTCTCATCTCCAGCTGAAGTGTCAGGTGGAACGACTCTCGTCTTTCAACCTTCGACACATGTATACTGACAAGAGTTTAGACAGTAGAAGGTCAATCGCAAATTGATTCCAAAGCGAACATCAAGAATGGAGACATCAACCCCTTCCACATCACTCCCCTCCTAGACTTCAACTGGCAAACCACTGAACCCCTCAAATTCCGAGCCTTCAAACCAAAATACCATTTAACAATGGGTATTCTCCTCCTCACCCTTTACCTCATAAACACTAACACCGCCCTAGCCGTCGAAACCTCCTCTCTCTCCGAACTCCTCGAATTCGACAAAAACTATCTTGATCGCATCACTCTCCGAAAACAGATTATTGAAGAACATCACCCCATTGCCATCCAATCCGCACCCTCCTGCACGCCTGCCCTTAACGAACTATACACCTTCCTCACCTCAACTTATCTCCCAACCCGCTACCCCACCATCTTCTCCCTCTCCCCTCCCTCCTCTCCCACCCCAACAAGCTTACTTAACCACGCAACCTCCCAACATCTTCCTCTCTCCCCTCCCACCGACCCAATAAAGGCCTGGGAAATCATAGGCCAAAACCTAGACGAAGATTTCCTAATCCTCCTACCGAGCGAAGACGGAGATGGATATCGCCTAATGGGCTACGTAACCTGTTTCCCAGCTGGATTCAACACGAAAGAGAAATTCGGGATGAAGTTACGAGAGATTCATGTACCGGTTCCGGGGTATAAGGCGAAGTTGGAGAAGAGTATGGATAGGTTTTTTGAGAGGCTGGAGGTTGGGAAGGTGGTTAAACGATCTAACGTTCGTCGATCCTTTTCTTTTTTCTTTGCTGTTTTGGTTGTGGCTTTTGAGGGGTGGTGAGGAAAGGAGGGTGGAAGAGAAGGGAAGGGAAGGGAAAGGGCTGATGAGAAAAACAGTGGTCAATCAATACCAAACACCAACTTTTCGCAGCGAGTGGCACTCATTTGTATGAAGGCGAAGAAGCAGTTGAAGAAGATATCAACATCGATACCACCTTCCTTCGTTGTGAGCGACAGCTCCTTCATCGATTGCCGCAGACAAAAGCGCTGGTCTTTAATTTCAAGACTTATCTTTATCCATTAAGAGAGATTAAGGAGGAAGGGTTAGGAGAGGAGCTAGCGCAGGCTATTGATGGGTTGAAGGAGGGGAGTGTGCCGGAGATGCATTTTTATAAGCGGGGTGTGGTTTGGGGTGAGAAAGTTAAGGAGTATTTGAGGAGTTAAGGGGTCATTTGGGCGAAAGTCAGGAATGCGGGCAGAACGCCATCGGATCATTTTTCTTCATTTCGAGAAGCAAAGCGTTATCTGCAGGCGTTGCAAAAGGTGGGAAGCACTGTTAAGTTAAGACAGTCTAGAAGGAAGAGGTTATCCGACAAAAGGTTGGGCATTCAGTACAGTCCCGTGTAGCCGTAGCCACAACAACCAAACCCCCTCATCCTAGTCTACGACGTCAGCTGAATGACTGGAGAAATTGATAACCCCCTCACCTTCAAACTACAAATGAATCCATCAGCTCTATGCCTTTGACGATAGTTAAAGGTATCCCGCTAGGGAAAAATAGTTTACCTTGAGGTTATATAATAAAACGTGATATTTGCGGCACGTTTTTGCGCCAAGGTTTTGCCAAGAAACGCCAATATGTGTCGCTTTTAGCATTTAGCGCTCTCCGTAGAGCAGCTCCACGTAGGGGGGGTTGTAGGGGAAGAACGCTCCTACTCGCGCCGGCGGAGCCGGTACGATTAAAAGCTTTATATTATTTCAAAGTTCAAGTCGTCAAAGGCAGGGCATGGCGCGAGGCACGAGGGTCATCCCACTATGAACCCTCACTCCTGCCCAATCCCACCCCTAAATCTCACGTGCACCCCCTTCCCCTAAAACCCACCAGCCTCACCGCCCTCGCTTAGCGAAAAGCAAGCGCAGCCCCAAAAAAAAATCACCAAAAAATTTTTTTTAGCAACTCTCCTAACCCTTACCTGATAAAATGCATTCAGCCGGGGCGGCGAGATAAAAATAAAATATTAATTTTGACCTACGCAGGGATCGAACCTGCAATCTCTTGATTACTTCAATCGATCTTAGTCGATTTCGTAGTCAAGCGCCTTGCCATTGGGCCAGCAGGCCGATTTTGAAGAATTTTGGCATATTTAATTCTATATGGGCTTTTGTAAAACACCGGCCGAAGAAAGGAGTGGTTGGATGTGGTTGGCCAAAACTCGGGATGGTGTGGGGCAGAGCTCGATGGCTAAAGGGCCGGGGAAATTTTTACAGACGAGGGGTCACAGCCCAACACAGATATCACGAATAACGCAGCAAGTGAGGACAACGTCAACTCACATTTATCTACGAGCAATTTCAAAGCCTCCAATCGTGGTATCATAGTATCAGCAAGGTAAGCCAGTCCTCCCATGCACCATCTACAACCACCTCTTCACTGCAAATATCATGCAAACAGACCGACAGACGCTTCATCTTACAAAGTATAAATGAAATCCGGACGCATATCTCCCAATGCTTCAATCTCTCGATCACTGCGTCCCTCGACCCAATGGTCTCGCTTGCCAGCCTTTCTCAGCTTGTTTTCCCGTGCCAACAGAGTTCGGAGGACAACACTTCCACCAAGGAGGCAGACGATCATGTAAGCCATGACGACTGCGTGACCGACAGTGTACTTTGGAGACTTGAAGTAGATGTTTGAGCTGACAATGCCGTTCAGGTTACCCCATCCAATGACGAAGCCAAGTACGACACCACGCTTGTAAACCCCCTCAATGTTATTTGCCGTCCATGAAATGGTGTTTGCGATGCAAGGGTAAATTCCAAGAGCCCCGAGGAAAGTACCAGCGTACTTGACTCCAGCCTTTTCTGAACCCAGAAGCATGGCAAAGCCTGTAATTCCAAGGAACGACACACAGATGTTACAGAGACCTCGTTGCTTGGTTCTGTCTGCAATATAACCAATCGTGATCGTCAAGATAGCTGCGGCTGCATATGGCGGAACCGTCAAAAGTTGGGCCTTGGTACTAGAATACCCAAGTTGGCTAATAATGCTCGGGAGGAAGAGGGAGAAGGCATAGAGTGGCATATCACAACCCATGTAAATGATCATTCCCAGCCACATCTTATAATCCTTCATCGCCATCCAAACATACTTCATCTTGAATTCTTCGTGCTCGGCAGAGGATTGTTGGTCGATCTTCAGACGGCGGAGGACTCGCTCACGGTCTACCTCGGAAAGGAATTTGGCATCATCGGGGAAGTCGTGGACGAGCCAGATGGCGGCGAAACCAAAGAGAACAGTCAACTGCAGATTCAAGGTCAGTACTATATCTTGCGAGATCTGCAAAGTAGGTCGTGCATGGGTAAGGATTCAACTTACGATTCCCTCCAGAATGAAGATCCAAGCCCAACCAGGTTTGCCACCAAGTCCGTTCATCTTGTTGATTGCGGCTGCAAGGAGACCACCGAAGGAGCCTGAAACTGCGGCAGCAGAGAAGAAGATGGCGGCACGAATACCGAATTCCGATCGTCTGTACCAACATGACAAGTAGTAATTGATTCCTGGAAAGAGACCTGCTTCAGCAAGACCTAGGAACCACTTCGATATTTCAGCATCTGCGGATCTGCTAAGTTGGGAATATTAAACTTACACGCGCAGCCATCAAGCCGCTCCAGTTTGTGACGAAGCCCATGAAAGTCATGCAGATTCCCCAGATCACCCTGCAGTCCGTCAGTATTTCAATTTCGTCCAATCGCACAAAAGACATACATGATAGTTGGGATGAAGACCGAAGGACGAAGTCGCTTCAACAGAATGTTGGTCAAGGGTTCGAAGACGGAGCTGCCTCAAATCAGTTGTCATCCCACCAACCAATCTCCCAAAAAATCCCAAAAAATCCAAAAGAATCCTCCAATATGCATCATCCCGCCAATGAAATCCCAGAAAAGGGACTGTACTCGAGTCTAGAAAAGACTCATGCGCGCTCCCGAGACAGTATGGAATATTCCTCCGGAATTCGGACGGGCCACTCACTAAGAAACGAAGAAGATCGACAACGTAGCATTGTACCCGCCCGTCGTCATATGATGAAGACTCTTCTGTAACCCATCGATCTTCGCATTCCCAATATTCGTACGATCGAGGAAAGCCAGAAGGTACAGAACACACAGCTACCCCTCATTAGCTCCTCTCCAAACTTCACCCCAAAATCACCCCTCAAATTGTCGCGACGCGCAGAAAACTCACAATTGGAATCAACGTGAAGTCCAACTTCCGAATAAGCTTCTTATCCTAAATCCTACGCGTCAGCTTAGCACCAAGAATAGGCGCGTCTTAGAAAAGCTTACAATAGCAGCCTTTTCCTCGGCACTCAAATGCGCGTCCGGATCAGGAATATCCTTACCACCAGAATCCTTCTCGAGAGCAGTAGTAGGCGTAGAAGCAGGCGCGAAATTCTTTTCCTCGAGATGATTTGGCGCGGTGACCTTTTCTTCGGAGCTTTGGTCCATGGTGGGTGGTTTTTCGTTCTCCATTTCCGTCGCGCTGACGTTGGTGGTGCTGAAGTTGGGGAGAGGAGAGGAGAGGAGGGAGAAAATGAAGAGGTGAGGACGTCAGCTTAAGAAGGAGCGCAGATAACAAGGACAAGGAGGGATACTCGGAAGGAGCGTTCCTAATGCACCTTTAAAATCTAGCCGTCGAGCCAATTGATAGCTAGACTTTTCCTAGTGCCTTTTCAAGGTTATTCCGGTTCTTGTGTACCATTCGGTGCGCAATTCGAGATCTACATGGATGTTCCACAGGGATTGTTTTCAACCCCGCACTATCCCTTAGACCGCCATCGCTTGCCACAGCGCTAGTAGAAGTAATGCAGGGGTTATATCAGCTACTTCAACTCATTATCGTGATACTAGAATTACGTATTATACTTAGAAAATCAATTAATTAATATTCTTTTGATGAAATCGCACCCAACAATCACTTTTCTAATATAGTACTACATCACAAAAGTCACATTTAAACCTAGAACGACGCGCTCTCCCACTAGTCTCCTGCTCAATAAGCTTATTGTATTGTAGTTTATATACACACTAAGTACAAAAACTTACTACTTTTCTTTTGGTTCTTATATAAATATAGTCTAAATTCGAATTGAACTATTTTTTGCTTTTTAATTCAAATTGTAAACGCTGTATTTTAGCTTTAATATCGAACTCAAATAGAAAAATATATATTGCGATTCGAAAATCTAAATAGAAAAGCGGTTTTAAGTGTTTTAATTCAATCATATAAACTTAATAGAGACGATAACTATTAATAACAATTATATCAACTAATTAATAGAATATAGACTACTAGTTGCGTCTCGTAGTTTTGTGTGTCTCGTATAATTCTTTCAACTAATTGGCAATATCAACTTCTCCCATATTATAATTGTAATTATTAATCAAAACTGGAATATTAAACTCTTTTATTAAATTATCTCCAAAGACAACGCGAACAATTCGACCGTATATAAACGTTTTCGCAAAGCGTCGTCGTTGTCTTGAAATAAAATCATTAGTAGTATGAACTATATAGATTGTATTTAAACCTAGAACAATATTATTGTCCTGTCAAACAAAGCAAAAAATCTCGTTTACTACTTGAGCGTAAAGCGTATTCCAATCTAATTTTGAAATTAAATTATTTTTCTTTAATTGAAATAATTTAAAAAAAAACTTAGCGTGCGATTTAATCGTTCCAACAACTCCAAAACGATTGCTTTATAGACTCTGAAAAAACGAAATAGAAATAAAGTAATTATCCATATAAATTGTAAACGAATTTCTAAATAAGAATTCGACAAAAACACGAACAAAAAAACCGATATTTATCAATTCTTCGACGATTATTATCTCTTCTAAACTATAGATCTTAGAGCTCCATATAAAGCTGTATATGTATTCATAGTCTACTAGCTTGTAAATTTTATACTCTTATTTAATCGATTTATTGAACATCTTAAAAATATAATTTAATCGATCGAAAAATCGCACTATAAATTCGTCGATTAATATTGTACTCGAAAGCGAATAATACTATTAAAACGTAACTCGAAAACGAAAAATAAAAAACTTTACTTTATACTACTATTTCGTATTATCAAATTGATCTAAACCTTTGAATTTGTTCGTTTTTAAATCTAATATATAGAAATATCGTTTGATCTGTTTCTACTACTAACAAGAAATATACCTTAAAATCGTATAAATAGAATCTCTCTTTATATCAATATTCTAATAACTTTCGATATTTAGTACATTATAAACTTTTATATATATAATTGCATCTAAAAAAACACGAAATTTCTCTACTAATAATTCTACTTATTCTCGCTGCTTTTCTCCTTTATCAAACTACTAAAACCTTGCGTATATATTTGTATTTCGCGCTATTACATCGTATAAATCAAAAGAAAAGAAAAAATCAAAATAATCGTATAATATCGAATTCGAAGAAAACGTAAAAAGTAATAATACTTTAATAAAGCAATTTTTCTCTGTCACAAATAACTCGAATTTGATCTCTAAAAAATTTCCGTATTCCTTGAACAATTCAAACAATAAATCTGACTTTTTTAAAGCTTTAATAGCGCACTATTCAATCGTATTAAATAACGTTTTGCGCTTTAAAAGCATTTTACTAAGTAATTCCAAAGTACATTCTAAATTCGATCGCGATATTGAAAAATCACGCGTTAGCCAATTAGAGCGCGCCATACGATCGGCTAAAAGGCTAAATAGCGGATTAACATTATTCCGACAAATTTTCGCTTCTTTTCCTAGCGCTGTGGCAAGCGATGGCGGTCCAAGGGATAATAATCATCAGCTGCCAATTAGTAGCTGTCAAGAGGTCATTATTTTTAAGAAAGCAAATGACGGCCAGCCTTTCGATGCCCATTTTTGGAATCTGCCCCGTGTGTGACCCCATGATAGAGCTGGAAGGAATTCGTCTGGAAGCCTGCAGGCGCAGAGATGTTGGGATTCTCCATCAGTCCGGATCTGAGACAGCGGGGAGCCGAAGGCTGGGGTCAGCGCGGGGATTGAGAAATCCCCTAGCTTCGGTCGACAATCGGCGTTTTAAT